AAGTTACATAACTTGCCCAAGGTTACACTGCTCATAAAAGTGGTTGAACCCCAGGATGTATGGTTCTGGAATCTCTGTACAATGTCTTACTGCCTCAGAGAAAATATGATTATTTTCTCTAGAAATAGAGAAAATATGATTATAATGTTAGTTGAAAAACAAATTGATACAGATCATGAATGGGAGGGATATTTTCCCATTTTTAAACTACTGAGTCCAGTAGTAAATTTAATAAATTTAATGATAAAAGTCAAAGTAGAGAAAGCTTATTCTTGTCTAATCTTCTTATCCCAGAAGTGAGAAGGGAGTTGGTTTCCCAAATCTTCCATAAGCCTTTGCTGTGTTTCCATGTGGAAAACTACATTATATGTAGGATGTCTTAGTGCTAAAGAGATAGAGATAAACCATGTAGAATTATTTTCTCTAGAAATAGAGAAAATATGATTATAATGTTAGTTGAAAAACAAATTGATACAGACCATGAATGGGAGGGATATTTTCCCATTTTTAAACTACTGAGTCCAGTAGTAAATTTAATAAATTTAATGGTAAAAGTCAAAGTAGAGAAAGCTTATTCTTGTCTAATCTTCTTATCCCAGAAGTGAGAAGGGAGTTGGTTTCCCAAATCTTCCATAAGCTTTTGTTGTGTTTCCATGTGGAAAACTACATTATATGTAGGATGTCTTAGTGCTAAAGAGATAGAGATAAACCATGTAGAATGTAAAGAAAGGAAGTATAAAAATGACAGGGTGCAAGATTGAAACGGAGAAAAAAATCGAAAGAACTAAAAAGTATAACTTGGCTAAGCAATAGTTAGTAGAGAACTTAATAGCATTCTAGAAATATTTAGAAGAAAAATAAGTGTCTAAAAATATCACTAGGGAGGTTGAAAAGAAGCAAAAAGAAAGGTCTAAGAGAAAAACAAATTAAGGGAACTTTGTTAGATTTTGTCCTTGCCTTGCAAGATGCACAATGAAAGATATTTTCTTAGAATATGGAAGCCCTAGCCACAGATTTCACAGGAAAAGAAAATTTTGTTCGCTGCTTTGTGTAGGTCGAAGCAGAAAGACAGGCTAGATATATGGTTTTAAAATGCTTTAAATAATAAAAATAATAAGTGGAATGCCCTCACAACCTTTATATTTGCTGTCATTTAATCTTCATGATGAATTTGCAAGATATATATTACTAACTCTACAGTGTAGGTCGAAGCAGAAAGACAGGCTAGATATATGGTTTTAAAATGCTTTAAATAATAAAAAATAATAAGTGGAATGCCCTCACAACCTTTATATTTGCTGTCATTTAATCTTCATGATGAATTTGCAAGATATATATTACTAACTCTACTTTACATATGTGGAAACAGAGGCTCGGGGGGTTGTTTTCTGTCCAGGGTTAGACAACCTGTATCCCTATGATTCCTTCCCATGCCTGGTCTCCTTCTAGAACACCACGCTGTATTCTTTCACACAACCCTTCAATGATTTTGCTCAGAAGATGATGTCACAATACAATTGGTTTTCCGCCAAATTCCTTACAGCGTATTACCCTCACAGAACATACCGATAAGAACAGATCACGTTGGAATGAGACCTAGACCTGCTTCTGAAATCCGGCTGATGTCTTCTAGGAGGTGGCCCGGTCTGCCCAGCTCTTCCAGAAGCTGTGCGTGTTAAGTAAACACACAGCAGTCGGCTCGGATGTAGGAGCAAATGAGAGATGGATGAACATAGGAAAATGGAGCGGAACTCTCCAGTAGGCCCCCAGCCTCCTGTGTCTACAGGCTCCCAAATGAAATCACCTAACTGTTTATAGGAGTCTTAGTGCTGATGAAAAGAGCGAATTACACGCCAATCCTTTCCCTGCCAGTGGAGAAAAGTTCCAGATTCTTTAAAAAGTATGTAAAGCATCGATCTGAAAAGTGGTAACAGCATTTGGGACCAATTACCCAGATTAAGAGGCAACAATGATCTGTTTACACTTTGTAGCCAAGAGCCCTTTGGCTCTGGTCCATAAACTGGAGATTGTAAATTGTAGGAATTTCAGCCTAACATTGACTTCTCTTTTGACCTGTGTGTCTGAGTATAGGGAAAAGCAAGTAGGAAAATCCTGTTCTTGCTTGCCCTAAAATTTCAATGAATGGAACTAAATAATGTTTTCTAGGTAAGACATTTAACACGTAGATCTCTCGCAGTGAAGGCATGGGTTTTATCACTCTGAAGAGTCTGACTGATGTGTATGATGTGGCAGGTTGCCACTCCTCAAAAATTATTTTTGTAGAAGTTAGAAAATCAAGGCTCCCTGCCACCTTTTTAAAAAATTACTATAGCACTCTGATTTAACTCCATTTTCCAATGCATTTTGTATTAGTCAGTAATAAATGGTGGACAGTGAAATTATCACCATGAAAACTGTGCTGCCAAGGATAATTAGACATAGATTGTGGCAAATACAGACATTGGGGGCAAAAAAAAAAAAAAAAAAAAATGCTTCTAGAACTTTTGGCCAAAACTCTGAAATTGATAGGGGTTTGAATTGTTTAGGACTGAAATGTAGGTTTTTCCCTCTACAAAGAAGGAGCAGTCCCCACTTCCCATAACTCTGATAATTCTTGAAGTTTTTGAAAATATTCATCTTTCTTTTAACATAATCCTGATGTTAAGGGCTTGACCTTGCCAGGAGGGAAATCGCCACGGAGGTAAAGTAGCAAGGAGGAGAAATGTGAGGTGTCTGTTCCTGAAGCTCAAGCTTGCCACATGCAGCGGTGTTGAGTTGACGTCACTATTTTACCTATAGCCTTAATGTATAGGTGTCCAGAGTATAAAATTTTAACCACACTAAATACCACCTCTAGACCCTCAAATTGAGAAATAACCACAGGCATTGACTGAGTTCTTCTTTTTAAAGTTCCGTCATTTGGCTAGCCATTTAGATGTAAACACGACTGAGGCTGTCATTGTGGAGTGTTGTGGAAGTCTTGGAGTTGGAAAGCCTTTTTTATTGAGTCATCCAGCATGCACTGAATGCAGGGCTATTTACGTGATGACATTCCAGAACCTTCACTTGCCAATGTGCTTTTTTAATAAAAACTGGACAAAAAAACCAACTTTATTCAATTTTGGATTTTTCTGACCCTGGTTTATCTCAACAATTTACCTTTTTCTACAATGTCAGAGCTTCATGACATTTACAATTAACTCACAAATTAACTTAGAAATGATAGTAAGCTCTCAGCTAAATGATATAGTGGCCACTGGGGACCAGACCAATTTTCTAGAATAAGGTTAGGACTAGGTTGCTCTGTAACAACACTAAGGTTGGTGTGAGAGGAGAGACATTGTCCGCTTCTAATTCTGGCTGGGTACTCAGCTCTCTGATATTTCTCCATCTATAGAAAAAAGATAATCTGCTTTAAAAATCTTTGGAATTCAAGGCTCCATAATGGAATAAAAAAGTCATAGAATCCTACCTTTGGAAGGAAGATGGAGGGCATTGGTCTAACTTCCTGCTGAACCCAGAATTCTGGAGATGGGCAGATGGTCAAGTGGATGCTGACTGGACACTTTTCATGAGTTGCACATTCAAGGCAGGTATACTAAATGTGTGACAGTTCTGCCAGTTTGGCCAGGGCCACCTAAAGAGAGAAAGGGGAAGGGCTCACTCTCCCCAAGGCTGCAACTTTTGGGGTGTTTTGTTTTTAGGAAGCTTTGTTCCTTGTATGGGAGCAAAAATCTATGTCTCTGGAACATCTTTCCATTAGGTAAGTTTCTGTCTTCAGAGGCAATATAATTGAATCTTGTCCCTTTACCATGTGATAGACCCTCAAATATTTAAGATAACTATTATATGTCTCAGTCCACTGCTTTTGTTTTACTGGCTAAATTTCCCAGTTCCCCATATGACATGGATTCAAGAGATTTTGCTTTCCTGAGTTAGCCTTGGTTTGCTAGAGTCTCTCTCTCTCTCTTTTCTTTTTTGGTACTGGCTGGTACAGAGATCTGAACCCTTGACACTGGTTTTATAACACCACACTCTAACCAACTGAGCTAATCAGCCAGCTCTCTGCCAGAGTCTCTTAGGAAGTGTCCCCAAACAAATAAAACACTCAGAATTTATGTGGCCACCATGGGCAGTGTCTGTCCACTGTGTCATGTGACTGTCTTTAACAGAGCCCTTCATTAGGGAAGATCCCCCATACCCTGCAGTCAGATCTCAATCATCTGGGGGCTTGTACAGGAGATTTCTTGCATTTAAGAATGTCTCATGTTTATCCCCATTAGATTTCATTTTGTTTTGGCTTTTTGGCAGCTTTTGAGTCTGTCTCTTTCATCTTTTATTCCTTTATGAATTGACTAGCATTTTATTTTATTTATTTCATTTTATTTTCAGTTTTGCCCAATCATTAAACTAAATATTACAGATGTCAGGGTTTCTGGGGTTTCTGGGGTCTTCAATGTCACTAGTGATTATGTTAAGAATAGTTGCATGTTTGTTTCTTCAATTAGCTCTTAAGTAGTGGTTAATCACAGGGTCTCTGAAAGTAGATCTGCCTAGGTTTAAATCCTGGATCTGCCAATATGCCAGGTATGTGGCCTTGGACATGTTAATTTATCTATGCCTCAGTTTCTGTGGTAGATTCTCAGGCCATAGGTAGACTATATGCTAAAAAATAAATGTTTTAAACATCATCCACTGTTTGGAAGTTTCTACATCTTCTACCTTTCCATTAACAATAAAAATGAAGCTCTGACTTGAGGAGAGATCTTGATTCAAGTACACAGCAACATAATGCTCCCTTGGTTCAGCTTCAGTATGTTAAATCAAATACTCATCAGGCTGAAAATTTAAATCTTCCAAATATCTTTTACAAGTAATTCCCTTTGAACTTCTGTCCATGCTAATTAAACACGGTTGGTATTTTCCTCCTTCTGTATTAATACAGTTGAGCTCAAAGAATAAAATTCACCTGTGTTTTCTCCTTTGTATGTGTTCAATAGGTACCCCTGAAGCAATTACCTACTGCCAGATGTGGGAGGAGCCATTCTGTAGGAGCAGGGGCCACTGGTAATATGATATGTGGTTGTTGTGTGTGTAATGTGCTAATACTTTTGACAGCAACCATCCTAGAGGGGTGTAGCAAATCATTTGAAATTTGTACACAGACTGCCCTATCCATTACGCATCACCCATATCATACCCATAATCTCCCAAGGCAGATATGCTATTACACTCAGCGGGCCAAGGGCTGCCTGTGCTTATATACACACAACTCCCACTGACTCTGCGCCACCGAGACACTTCAATGAGAGTTGTCAGCAGCATAAATTTAGCCAAGTACAGTCACGACCACAGCAGGCGCAGTTAAACTGAGAGACCTGGCTGTGTGTTAAAAAGGCTGAGGAAGAACAAAAAGGCTGCCAGTTTTCATAAGAAATCTTATCCCCAGAGCATTAGGAACTGTAGCCTGATACTCACTACACTCTTCATCCCAGTCCCACAACCTGCGGATCCCAGGCTGGGACTTGGAAGCAGCTAAAACAGATGGGGCATTTTCAACAAAGGTCTGCTACAGGGCATGAAACTGTGCCTCGCATCCAACCTTATTATGTGAGGGAAAAATTCCCCATAGATGATCTATAGAACATTTATTTATCAAATTTAAAGGGACATCTTGGAACCAATGAACTTTAAGTATAGAAAATTTAAAATACATAGTACAAAAACACAAAGATGCTCAGCTTTTGAAAGTCACTAGTCTATCCAGTTTGAAACACATTGTTATAATATGTTATAGTACATAAGGTGTGTATTGTCATGCTGATATAATAATCGCTGTATTCATCCTTTCATAGTGATTTCCGGCATCCTGTCTGATGTGATTTTTTGAGAAGTCTTTTTTGGCCTCTGAGACATCTCCAAATCGTAACTTCTAAGTGATCAGGTGTTACTGACCTCAAGCCCTGGTTGAGGTAAATGCCAGGATTTAATCTTCACTCCTCAGAGTCACAACCCTCACTGTTGTGAACAGTGACATCTATTCTTAATCATTGAAAGTGCTGTTGCTTGGCAAGCAGAGCCTGGGTTTGAGTCCCAATTCATGCCATACTAATTGTGTGTCTAGGGCATGTTGCTTAAAATTTGTAAGTCCTGTTTTTCTTATTTATATCCTGAAGTTAACAATCACTTCTTCATAGTGATGCCATGAGGACAACATCAGAAAAGATATGTGAAAGCACTTAGCACACGCATGCACTCTAATGAATAACTGCATGCGACGGCTCCCGTGTATGGCACCATGTATGCCATGTATGTAGACACTCAGTGAAAGCTTCCTTTTTTCTTATTCTTCTCCTTTCCCCTTTTCTTCCTCACCACATCCTCCTAAGTTAATGCTCATGCAAGCCTATATATATATATTAAGAAAAATACTGCCTTTAGAAATAACTTCATTCAATACTATCCTGTGAATAACTAATGACCGCATATGTAACAGAACACATGTAAAGCTATACTTATCCTTTGATTATTGGTATAGAACAGATAAGAATGATCCATTCAAAAGGAAGATGAAAAAATAAAGAGTAGGCAAGGAACTAAACTAGACATGCAGTCAAGTCTGGTTAACGGTTATTTTCAGTGGAGGTTTTGGCTGAGTTTAGAATCCCTGCCTCTCTGACTGTTAATGTACAGTAGTTGAGGGTGACCATTAAGAAGTTGAACGCACAAAACATTCAAAGTTTACATAGGCTTTCTTCCTCTGTTTGGGAAATTTTGGCTGAGTTTAGAATCCCTGCCTCTCTGACTGTTAATGTACAGTAGTTGAGGGTGACCGTTAAGAAGTTGAACGCACAAAACATTCAAAGTTTACATAGGCTTTCTTCCTCTGTTTGGGAAGGACCAAAAGTCAGGCACAGTTCTGTAAATGCTATTAAACTAGTATATTTTATGAACTTAGATTTAGAAAAGTATCTTTCTCCTTAGTAAATTTAGCTTCCTTGTCATTTCTTCATTTTTTTCAAAAAATAGTTCACAATATGAGGACTCTAGGTTAGAGTCGAATTAATCATGTGTTAAAAAAATTACATCACTGTAAAAGACTTCTATTTATTATAGAAAAGGTAGTCTAGGTCACATTTAAAAAATAATGTGTTCTTGAATATGAAAAAGTGCAATAGGTTAATTTGAAAAGTATGAATAATTCAACACAGATTCATGTGTTTCTTTTTAGGTATTTTCCCATATAAAAATTGCACTTTATCATTGTTAAGTAAACCCCCATTGGCACATGTAACTCCCTGAGACACCACGTTGTGTTTTCTAGAAGCCAGGAACAACTGAAGTTCCACAAGTTTGGAAAGAGCACATGTAGTTTTGTGTGTGTGTGTTGGGGGAGTTGACTTTTTTCAGTGCACAAAATAACTTCCTCTGGTTTGAAGTTGCAGTTAGAAAATGTTGGAAGTAAAAAAAAAAAATTAAACAGGATTTGTACAAAATTCAGGGGCTTTGAAGATTGTGTGTGTTAGAATTTGGTAGTGGTGATGGCAATGTAGCCCCTTTCATTTGTGTGATAAAAGTCAGCAAAAATAAAGCAAGACTTACTCTAAACATAAGTTTAGGTGGTAAATCAAGCTCTAAATGGAAAATAAAATTAATATGCATGTATATTACCAAGTATACATGATAAATATATATATGATAAGCTATTTATTTTGCTGCTGGTGTTAAGGGGATCCAAACCCTTGACCTTGGTGTTATCAACATCGTGCTCTAACCAACCGATCTAACTTGCCAGCCCTAAACTCTTCAAATTCTTTTTGTCTTATCAAAGATAATGAAAGAAAAATAAAATTCAAACCTGCCTTCTGCCTTCTAACCTCACTTTCTTTTATGCAGGGCTGATCATACTGGCCTCTCAAGTTCTGATTAATTTTGTGGTCAGTGAATCTTGTCTCACAGAAATTCTTTTTAAAAACAAGGTATCCCTGCTCGCCCCCATTCATCCACATTTTGCCTCGATTTTACTTGTCCCTCCACCCTCCCATACCCATCAGATCACAGTATCGCATCAGCTTCATGGAATCGATTTAGGACACTAGGCATTTCCTCTGAAATTAAATTCCCCATGAAAACTTAACAGGAGCAACAAGAATATCAGAAAAGCAAGATGGGAAAAGCACCAGACGTTGAGCTAAAATGAAGACCAAATCCTTTATATCAGGGAGAAGGGGAAGAGGGTCAGGCAGAAAGAGAAGCAAAAGGAAAAGCAGGGCAGGAGGAGAGGCATGAGGGGAGGAGGGAGCTAAATTAGAACAAGAGGCGATGTTTATTAATAACCTTACTGACCCACAGGCCCCTGACACAAAATACATTCAGTGTTCTTGGGACATTCTGGTCTGTCACTCACAGGAGAAGCAAAGGAAGTCGTGTTGGAAGCTGCAAACTTTCTGAGAACAGATTAAAAAAAAAAAAAAAAAAAGCCAGAAAAAGGCAAAGGTGTAGACTCACAAGCTAAGAAGACTCCTGGCCCGGGTCCTCCCTTCTTTTCCTGCAGCACCCTCTCCCTGCACTTGCAGCAAAATAGGACTGAAAAGACATAAGCAAGCATCGTGCTCTTGGTTGCAAAAAAGAATACAGGTTCATTGTAGAACGTTTGGAAATTATGGAAAAGCAGGAAGAAGTAAATAAAAATTGCCTCTGACCCCACCCCTTAAATATAGTCATTGTCAACACCTTAATATGCATTTTCTAATCTTTTTCCTCTACTTTTTTATACACATATATTTGTGTGTTTGAAAAATAAGATGGAGGCTGTGCTGTCTCCATCATCCTGTAAACTGCTTTTCCCATTTGACGAAACACAATAAATATTTGCTCATGTTGTTAACAGTATTCCAAAAAACATATTTCCTTATTTGTAGGTACTGTAATTCATTTGGTCTCTTCTTAGATATTTATGTTATTTGTAATGTTTTGCCTTCATAAAATTTTTCTTTGTATCTCCATTTCCTCTGGATAAATTACTATAAGTGATAATCCTGGATCAAAACCTTTTCTTTTTTTCTCTTTCTTTTGGTTACATTCTTCAGAGATGCCCTCTAAAGTATGTATGCCAGTTTATGTTCCCACTCACAATGACTGACAATGCAGATTTCAGAAACCATCATTAATTCTTCCCAAAATAAGAAACTTAATATCCCATTGTGATTTGCATTCTTTTGGTTATTTGTGATGCTAACTTTCTTTACATTTATTGACTATTTGTCTTGTTTTGTGCATGTGTAATTTGCCTGCTTGCTTTTATTTTTATTTATTTAACTTTTGCCCTGTGGTCCTATGGAAGTGTTCATAGATTTTCTATGAAATTGTAAAAGTTCTTTGCATGTTAAGTTTATTAACCCTTTCACAATTACATACTGCAGACATTTTCTCCATTTTAACATTTGATTTTTAATTGTTAGTGAATTTTTAATGTATATGTTTATGAATTTAAATACATAAATCATTTCCTTTATTCTCTTCTCCTCTGCTTTTTTTTGTGTAGAAAGGCTTTGCACATTCCAGGCTGAGACCTGGAATATTTTCTACTACTGCTTTTATGGCTTGTTATATTTTCAAAAACACTCAAATCTCTCATTTATCTGAAATCCATTTCAGGCCATGAGGTAAAAAATCTGTTTAATAAAATCTCTTTTCCTTACTGATCTAAATATGATATGTTATGGGGCTGGTTTCTGTGTTCTTATATTTTATTTCATTATCTTTCTGTCTCCATCACTTTTGCCAAAACCCTACTTTTTCATTATTATAATTTAAGAATAAGCCTTATATCTAGTAATGCAAGTTCTTCCTCATTAAGTTTAGTTTTCTGGGCAATGCTCCCCTATTTGTTATTCCATAAACTCATCAAGTTCAAAATGTAAGAGAATACCATTTGTACATTAATGTGTGGGGATTTGGGTCTTTTAATAGTGGATTTTCTCATGTGGAAATAAACCATGCCTTCTCATTTATCTTTTCTTATGAATCTCTGTAGTTTCTTCATGTAGTTTCTCAATATGGTCTCAGATTTATGTGGTGTTATTGTGCATACAATTCCCATTTTATTTTACGATTGCCAATCAAAGTTAATTATTCATGCATTTTCATTTTGTATTTACCCCTGTACTGGTTTTATATTCAAATAATTTGCCGATTTGATTCCTTTGAGTCATCTAGGTAAATAACATTATCATTTGCAGATAATGATCATTATATCCCCTTCCCCAAATTATACAAGGATACTTCACCTTTCAAGGAAAAAAAGAATTAAAAGATAATATGAATCTTTCTGTGAACTTTTCAAAGACCCTTGTATAATTTCTTTATTTTTCCTGTCGTATTGCAAAAGACTAGATCTTCAAGTCATTTAAAAATATTTGTCATTAGGAATGCCTTCAATACCTCACTACTAAATATGATGGCCTGAATACCTTGTATTTTTGATGAGATCTTGCTTTTGGGTATGTTTGTAGCTTCACCTTTTCAATCTCCATTCCTGAGCCTTCTTTTCGCTGGTCCCACTGTATGTCTCCCAGCTGTGTCTGCCCAGGACTGAATGTCCTACTCTTTTTCTGCACTAGAGTATTCTGTCTCTATACAGTCAGCCTCATCATGTATCTACTGATGCTTCTTTTTGAGCTTAAACACCCAAAGTTCACTGGAGAACTCTCCCTTAATACTCAGACCAACACATTAAAAATCTGAACCACATTTGTTTTATTTAATAAATTATATGAAACTACCAGACTATTTTCCGCCAACTTAAAAGTTAGAGTCTTGCATAAGAATTTTTATTTTTGCATTTGAAGAAAATGTTAAATTATTTTCTCACATAGAAATTATCATTTCATTTGAATTTGCTGACTTTTTGCCAGTGAGAAATAAAAACAACCTGAGTGTT